CTCAGCTATGAAGGTGTTTCGATTGGAGAATATGAATGATGACACACCCAGATGGGTGGAGGGAAAACAGGGTCAGAGGCGATAGCGTATTACGTTGTCTCAGAGTCGGCTACACACAGGTCATGCCGACATGTTAGCTCCTAATAAATCCTCACAACGTCATGAGGGCGACTGCCAGAATCCTGACACTAAGTCAAGGACTATCGGTCTGGAGCAGGTGGGATACTACTTCAGGGGGCCAAAAATGATCCTCCTTGATCAGATGCTGGAATAAAGCTAACCGCCAACACACAAAAAAGAGACCCACAAACTGCACGTCACACGGACTGTGCAAATGACACGCAAGGTTAAAAAGAGGGGCCTGTGGTTGCGTCTTGAGGCGTTTTCCTTGCCTCGTCCTGCCACAAGCATCCGGATGACCCCGGCCGAAAACGAGCAAAACCCTAAGGAGAGTCAGTCAGCGCTGATTAGTTACGGGATGGGAGACCACCCAGAGATTGGGAAGAGGAAGAAACTGCCGAGAAGAGGGACAACTTTTCAGAGATTGGCCTTCCGTGCTCTCCCCAGTTACACACCGGCACAGGACACGAGGAATTCTACGGGGTCAGGGAAACCAATGCCTTAATCCAGGTTTAATTGTAGGTTGTGTGAACCAGGTGGGGAAAAACTGGAGGGGGGGCATTTGAGGGGGTCCCAGAGCCCTCCCCCCCAAAGTCATCCTCACGGGGGGGGGGGCACTCACATCCTGGTTGGACATGTCCCAATATGGCCTCTCTCCGAACGACATCACCTCCCACATAACGATGCCGTAACTCCAGACGTCGCTGGCCGACGTGAACTTGCGAAAGGCGATAGCTTCGGGGGCCGTCCAGCGGATCGGTATTTTGCCCCCCTGAGGAAAGAGGGAGGGTAGAATTGGGGAGGGGGCAGAGAGCATGAGAATGATCGAGTCCACCCCCTGCCCTTCCCCCGCCATGGTCTCCCACCCCTCAATCCTGGCTTGTTGTCCACGGAGCGAAACCAAAAGGGACAAGCCAGACGTACCAACGAGCTGGTATAGGTTGGATCCGAGGAATTCTCCTCCAGGAAACGAGAGAGGCCGAAGTCGGACACTTTGCAAACCAGGTTACTGTTGACCAGGATGTTCCGGGCTGCCAAGTCGCGGTGAACGTAGCTCATGTCGGAGAGATAGCGCATGCCGGAGGCGATGCCTCGCAGCATCCCGACCAGCTGGATGGGCGTGAACTGACCATCGTTCAACTGCGGGGGGAGGCAACAGGGAATGGTTCAGGACCGGAGGTGGCATTCAGACGGTTCGCACTGGTTCAGGCGGACCGGTG